AGCGGTTCTCCCCCAGCCACTCTAATTAAAACACTTCACCATCACATGTATTAAGCCCCCACGCATTTAAAAATGGCTGCAGGACACTTTATCTACACCTCAATTCAACAAGGTTTAGAAACAGTGCCCTGCAGCCATTTTAAAATGCACAGAGGCTTAATATGTGTGATGCTGTGGCGACACTGGAGCATTCTAATTAGAACACCAACAAGTGCATATGTAGGCAGCTCATGTGCCCATTTCCCTTTTCCTCCCAGACCTTACCAGCACTCTTACCTGAAGAAGAAAGAGGCGAAGAGCTTGGGATGTGGTTTCAGGAAGCTCTAATAAATTGGCTTTTGTTGCCTCTTGGAGGATCTGGCTAATTTCACTTTGAGAAATAATAGTGTTGTTCTGATACCTCGCAAACTTGAAGGAAAACGGGAAGTAAACAAAAATCAACCCAGGAATCCAGTGGTGACTCTTTCCCAGATAAGACTTTCTCTACACAAAAATGCACTTGGTTAACTAAGGACCTGATGTTTATGTCAATCTAATTAAGTGGTGCAAAGAGCAATTGAGACATGCTTATTGTGGTTTAAGCCAGGCTTATTTTGATTTAACTCAGGTCAATTTAGAATCCAAGTGATACTAAACTGAAAATGCTAGTTTTAATACTGAAATAAGAGCAAGTTAACAGGGTTTCACACTTGTTTAATTAAACAGGTTTGAAAAATGAATTATGTTGTAGTGTTGCAGCCTTCTTATGTAGATAACACCTGATTCAGAATAGGGTAGAGACTTGTCGACTGTTACCCACCAAAGGCTTCTTTCAACAATATCTTAACAAATATTTGACATCAGTACCCTACCCAGTGCTTCCACAATGCAGAAGCACTGCACAAGTGCTTCTAATGCACAAGTAATCAAATAGTCCCTGTACCACTTCCCCTACAATAGTCCTGACATGTGAAGGGAATGCAACAAACAGTGAAAGAACACACATCTAACACAGTCAACATTTTCACAGGGGCCTCCTTTCCACATTTCAAGTACATCTGTTTGTTATTTAGTTATGAGACAGAAATATAGTTAAAGACTGAGAACAATGGCCACATCTGGGCTTGTGTTTGGGGAGTATCTGTATAATACAGCACCCCATCACTTACACAGATGCACTGTACTGATACACAGACAAAATGGAGAACAGTCTATACTTTCCCTGCTCACCAAAGTCAAAAGTCTGAGAATTTCTGGACAAAGGAAGGACTTCTCACCACCACTGAGTAGTGTGAACAGTAGAAACCGATTCCAGGGCTGTGAAATAACGTGAAGAGCTGGAAGAGAGAAGAGAAACCACTAGCAGTGACTTTAAAAACTGCCTCATGGCAAGTTGATCGTAAGTACAGGCACTAGTTTATACAAACCAGGAACCCCTTCATTATGCCTATAAGGCCCATACTGTAAGACACTAATGTGGCTTTTTTTTTAATATCTGTTTCATCATGCAAGAGCTTGATCATCAGGCCAAAGGCTTAATCAACCAGAGAATAATGGGTTCTGGTCACATATAAGGTCTTACCTAACTCAGACTCTATAGGGAAGTATTTGGCAAAAAAACTAAAGTACCAGAAGAGCCATCCCTTGAATACACTGAACTCAGAATCCTTCTGTCCATCTTTGGTGCTTGTATGGGTGGTAGATAAATGTACTTCATGGGGCATTTTTCAATACAAGTAATGGGCAATCCTTCACCCAGAATTCAAAAAAAACCTAGGTCTGGTATCAGAGAGGTTTCCTGATAGTGAGATGCATTAGACTGAAGACTTTCACTTTAAGTAGAGGAAGCCTCATCATTTGAACTATTTAAGCCCAAACTGAACAAGTGCTAGAGCCTGTACTGTAGGAAACAATCTGGGTTGGAGAGAGTGAGATAAAGATTACCACGCTTTGGGAACATAGACCACATCTAAATACAGTTTACTTTGTGGGCACCTTCCCTGCAAATAGAAGTTGTATCACTGCCCTTTTGAAACTCTTTGTGGAAGAGCAATGCTACAAAAGCATTCATGTATGGGTGAGCCATCTTTTAGCAGGTGGAACTGAGGAGAAGCAAGCATAAGCATCATATAACCAGCCTGCTCTCCACACATTATCAGTGGTCCAGTGGTACACATTTGAAAAGCACGGGACACACACAACTTCTCATCTCTACCTTCTGTGATTTTGACCACATCCTTTCTCCAAACACAAGCAACTGGATGCCAAGTACAGAAAAGCTGCTGCATTCGCCTACATGGTCAACACACTATCAGGATCACTTTCACTTCTCTGTAAAGTGATTAGGAGGGAACTGAAGTAGGAATGGTGCTATATAAAACATGAGTCACTCTGCACAGCAACCAAGTGAGTTCTTATTTCTAAACATTATGATACATCATCTGATAACCTTCAGCACAGTTCAGTGAAAGCAAAGACTTATGATCACTGAAGGGAATTCTGCATTGCAGTGAGAATTTGGGCAGGCAGAGCAAAGGGTTTGGCTGTTGCTGAAATGCTGAAGTAGCATTTGCTCAGTTTAATCCTGAAGCAATGGAACCTCCCACCAACCCCCTCTTGTCATCCTGTTCCTACGGGGCTTTTTGCAGAGATGCCCATGGGCTAGTGACTGCCATTCGCCTGTAGTATTACATTTTCATTCACCAACTTTCTCTCTCCCAACAATACTCCTTTTGTTAAAGTTTCCTTCAACCTCTAGCACTCACTCTCCCTGTTTGTTACTGATTAGCATGGGTCAGGGAGCAGGGAACCTTTTTTCTGCTTCAAGACTAGAACCAATGCCCAACTTTGTCACAGGAGGCTAAAATCGAAAGGAAACACTTATTTTGCTGGCTCAATTGCAAGAAGCCTTCTGCCTGCACTGCAAAGTGGCCTTTTGAGTTGAAGTTCTATGGTTGCTACTTGGTCTCTGGGAGTTTCAGCACTACATTCTGTTGTTCTGTGTCTTGCAGGTACCCCTAATCTGGAAGCAAATTGCAACTGGCCCCTTAAAATGTGGAGGGCTCCATAACCCATTCGTAGCTCACCCCCAACTCAATCAACTGGTCACTCTGGGCTAAATGTCTGGAATAAATAACCTGGGTGTGAAAGGCCCTGTACTCCATTCCAGAATCCCAAGAGGCCCACCCCTTTGGGCCATAACAGATTTTGGAGTGAGAAAGATTTCTTTAGTCTTTCTAAAAATGACCCAGGGATCTGTGGCCAGAGAAAGGATTTGATCCTGCAGGAAGCTGGGTGCTGTGGCTTCAGTCCAACAAAATGTTTAAGCATGCAATTAACTTATGTACTTCAGCATGTCTATTGATTTCTCTGGGGCTCCTGCTGGGCTTAATTTGAAGCATGTGCTTAAGGGTATTGTTGGATCAGGGCCAGAATGCTTGGCCTATTGCAGGGCTGAGTCCCAACTGAGCAAGGGCTAGGCAGGCTTTACCAGTGTCCTGGTTCTTCACATGCAGGTACTCCATCAGGGCCTCCAGGCAGGCAACCACAGTTTGAGAAAGCACCAGATCTTTCTGTAAACACAAAGGAATGAAAATGAGGGCAATGGCTGCTACAAGAGGACAATGTGAAAAAGACAAGGATCCCATCTTTCAAGGTCATAGCTTAGGCAAATAACACTTTTCATCCCACTCCTGGCATGAAATGTGCAACCTATCTGCCACTGGTGGTATCATGGGGCCACACAGGAGGGAAGAGCTTGGTTCAAAGAGTACAAGACTCAGCAACTGTCTCCTAAGAAAATGAGTAGAAGGTGCACCCATTAGCTGTGGTAGGGAAGTAAAGTAAATCACCGAGTAAATCTTTACCAGCTAACCTCTGTGGTGATGTCTACACAGCAGTGTGCCATGCAGTGAGAGATACCCAGGCTAGCTTGAGCACCGGCAACAATCTAGGCACATAGCACAGAGCATTATGCAGGCTAATTTGCATGGCTCCTCATTACATTCAGAGGCACTCAACAGCATAGATATTCACTGTCTGTGTTAGCAGAGAAATACCCTACAATTCTGTAAGGAGTAGAGCAAGGGAGAAAGGCCCATAGGCTTTGTTATGTCCTTTCTAGTGCATTCTTTTAAACATATCTGAAAATGTACCTGGGCCAAAAGATTCTGCAGACTGATGACAAGCGAAAGCACCTGCTGCATGGTCAGAGGATACAGGGAGGCATCGTCCTCTGATGGCAAGGACTCCAAGCTGCTCTGGGCCGTGGGTTGGACTATAAGCACTAGCAGGGATGAGGAGAAGTTCTGCCTAATGATGGCCCTCAGGAGCTGAAGGATACCAACTGGACAGGGAACTGCTCATTATTACTAAACAATATCTTCCCTCCTTCACTTACAACCCATGGACCAGCCCCAAATAACCCTTCATGAGTGGCCACATCACAGCTGGGGCACAGGAGGGAAGGAAAAGCTTGGTGGATTAATTTTCAGTGCTTACTGAAGTGAGACAGACCTTACTTAGAGGCTGCAGGCAGGAATGGTACCCCAACAGGCTTCCCAAGTTTCTCAGCCTTACCCTACAGCCTTACCCTGCAGCATGGCTTCTCTTGTTATTCCAGTTCTCAGTCGGATTCAACCTCTGCTGCCCTAATCCATGGTGGTTTCATAACATGAACCACTGCCCACCAGGGAGGGATGCCATCAGACTCATTTCACTTTGGTCTCCCCCTAAGCATGCACCCAGGTGCTCCAAGCTGGTCACATCCACACTCCTGAGGCTCATACCAGTACTGACATGCTCTTCTCCAATAGTACAGTCATAGAATCATAGAGCTGGAAGGAACCTCAGCAGGTCATGTGTAGTCAAGGCAGGACCACCTCTGTCTAAACCATCCAATAAAGTGTTTGTCTAGATAGGTCATTCTCATTTGTGTTCTCCCTGCCTTCACAGGGCTTCCACCCCCCTCCCAATGTTCTCCCTACTTTTCACATAGTCTCTGCAGCTGGCAAAGTGCTAGTTACAGCAAAAAAGCTGCAAGAGCAAGTCCTTCAACCAGCCTCTGCCTACCTAAGAGCAGTGCAGGCTTCTTCTTTCTGAAGATGACTACATTCAGGACCTTCTCTAAATTCAGAGAGATTGTCTGGTGAACCTATAAAAAAAAATGAAGTACTGGGAAGAGATACAATGCCTGGCTCTGGAGCTGAGTCAGCAGAGGATCAGCTCTGCTAGTCAGGCTGCTCCCTGAACAATCTTGGGAAATCTGAAACCTGAAGAAGATGAGGTGGTCTTGGGTAAGACTGGGGAAGGACAGCAAGGATGCATGGCCCAAGTCCTGCCCACTTGCCTGCACGCTGCCTGCTGTAGCTGCAAATAGTTGCTTCTGCTACACTCATCAGCTGCCAAACAGCTAACAACCAAGCCTAATGTTGGTAGATAAACTGCCCTCATTATTAGCACCCACCTGAAATGCATGTGGGCAGTTCACACTTCTCTGAACCATTCATAGAATCATAGAAAATTAGGGATGGAAGGGACCTCAGGAGGAAGGGACCTAGTCCAACCCCCTGCTCAAAGCAGGACCATCCCCAACTAGATCATCCCAGCCAAGGCTTTGTCTAGCTGGGTCTTAAAAACCTCCAAGGATGGAGATCCCACCACCTCTCTAAGTAACCTGTTCCAGTGCTTTACTACCCTCCTAGTGAGAAAATTCTTCCTAAAATCTAACCTAAAATTTCCTTGCTGCAACTTGAGACCATTGCTCCTTGTTCTGTCATCTGCCACCACTGAGAACAGTTTAGCTCCATCCTCTTTCAAACCCCGCTTCAGGTAGTTGAAGGCTACTATTAAGTCCCCTCTCAGTCTCCACTTCTCTAAACTAAATAAGCCCAGTTCCCTCAGCCTCTCCTCATAAGCCATGTGCCCCAGCCCCCTCACCATTGTTTCCATTTAAATATCTGCAAACTCAGGGGGACTGGATGACATCAGTTCACAGTCAGAAACACCACAAGCTTTGGGCGGGATTCACCAGGAAGCTTTGGCAGCTTCAGCAATACTGTGTGAGCAGCCCTGGGGCAGTGACAACAACAGAGGCTCTGTCACTCCTTCCATATTTAAACAAGAGCTTCAATTGCTCAGAGTTTTATGAGACCAACAGAGGAATACTACTAATATGCTTCATGGCTCATCTGACTCCAAGTCATTTCTGAGAGAGTCCCTGCTGCCCATCCTACACCTTTGGTTGCTTTATCTATCTCTGGGTACCACATGAAGTCTGTGGTTTCTCACACTGTTGGTATCCATCTGGATGGGCCAGTGAAGTACTGTTTAATTTAAACACTAAATTTATAGGGCATTAAAGGATCCCATACTAATGATCAGTACAGGATGGCAAAAAAAAACCAACCTAACTCCCAAAAGACACAACACTTAGCCATTAGGACCAAGCGTTTCCCTGGACCCATACATCATTGCAACTGTGAACATTTTGTCCTGTTGGGAAAAGCAGAATTCATGACAAACGGTCAATTTCTCTGTCTCAGGGCCTTAATTCCCCATTTGGTGTCTCATGCTACTAGGTTTGTGACTCCCAAGGTGCTAAATCTTTTGCAGGTTCCTGACATGATTAATAGCTTAGACACATACATCTTTCTGTGCATAAATATGGCTGGCAATATGGAAGAGTCCAGTGCCCAAGGGTTACAGGAAGCAAAACATCTATTGAGGGAGGTTTCCATACTTTACTGGGGGAAAAACCCTTTCCTAGCAATACAAACTGAGGCGCTGCTTCTGTAAAAAAAATTGCATCGGGGGTAGCTTGACTGACTGAGACTAGCTTCCTCATTTCCATGGGACTGGTGCCCAGAGTAAGTTCTAGCATCTGCTTAAGAATTTGCAGACCACAGCCTATACTCACACACCAAGATTTTAAATCAGGAAGGGTCGGGGTGCATCAGCAAGTGTTCACAGAGGTGAAGATCACCCTCTTGAATCGGTGTTAAATATTCTATGTATAGTCCCCTGAAATTTCAACAGAGGGCCCCATCCATCACAGCAGTTTGCAGAATGGGGCATTGGCTTCCTGAAAAAAAGCCTTTCAAATATAAATTGATGGAGAAGAGCTGGAGATATTGTTTATCGCTGCCTTTTCTCCTGACCTCTCAAATGTTCCACTTTTTAGTTGGCCATGCCACAGGATTCCTGGCCCCTGCCAGGCTGGGAGAACAAAGCACCACAAATAGCCAAAGCAGATCTGCCCTATCCACAGGGGCCAGCAGATTCCAAGCCAAAATGAAATGTTCTCCTTGCAAACAGAGATTTTATTTTAAGATTAAAAATGTTCCCCCAGCAGCTTGTAGCCAAGTTGCACAGTGGGTTCTAACCTCGCTGTTGTAACTGTGCTGATGAGCTAGGAGGGAAGCAGTCAGCAGCCAAGCAGAGCAGAGAAGTGCCTCCTCTGAGGATGATAAAGCAGGTTCAGAGGGAGATGGCCATGTCCAGGTAACATCCAGCACTCTCTGGAGCAGCTCCAGCAAAGGAACACTGGAGAGCAGCACGGCCACCACTGTGCAGGAAAAAAGAGTCACGCCAGTTTCAGGAGTCTGCTGGGATGGTGCAGAGACAGCCAACAGGCATACAGCCCAAGGGATCAGAGCTGGCCACAGAACATGGCTCCTTAGAGTGTTCCTCTTATCCAGTACCCCACCTGCTGCTGCAGAGGGATGACTGCTGGGCCAGCTAATAAAATAAACAGTATTAAAACAGTCTAGCTCAATGGCTGCCTATATTTGCTTCTCACTATTAAGTTTTTTAATTGTAATTAAGGTCTGAAAGTCCCAGTAAGGCACTATGGTCTCACTGTGCTAGGTGCTGAATAAGCAGGTGAAATACAGAGGACTTTCTGCCCCCCAGAGGTCAATGCTTCAACCTACAGAAAACAGCAAGCTCCTTGTGTGCCCTTCTGTCATGCACCTAGGCTGCAACCCCTGCACTTCCCCACCCATCAAGCACCTAGCCAATATGCACTAGAATGGAAAATATCCTTCTTGACCTCTCCATCACTCTGAAACTCAAGTTCTGCTGGTCCTTATTACCCAAACCTGCTCAGCTACAGCTGGGCTGAGATCAACTCAGTGGAACTGCCCCAGCCTATAGCATTTGATGCAACCCTGTTCACCTCTCTGTTGGCTGCAGACCATTGTCTGGTGAAGGCTCCAATACAGGAAGTTCAAGGAGGGTTGCAGGAGCTCTGTATCATCCCGTCTGCACTTCCCACAGAGGTTGCTGACTACAAGACACAGTAATACAGGAGATGATTGCGCATTCCCAAAGACAATACCAGGCACAATACCAAGACCAGAAAGATGTTAACTAATTGGAGAAAAGTGCAACTGAAAGACTGAAAGGGCTGAAGGAACTGAGGAAAACTTTAAAAAACAAAAAGAAGGGGTGAATGTGGCTAATATTCATAAAGTTCCAGAAGCTTAGCTCATACAAGGTGACAACCCACTGCTCCTAGGGAAATCTAGTCTAAACTAGACAGTGCAGCAAGGGATGACAAATGCCAAACAAAGGAAGGTGAGGGGTCCCAGTAGCAACAGGCTACAAAATAAGTGGTTTGTTGCAGACATATCTTACTGGTTCCTAACATCAAATCTATAAGGATGGTGTTCAGAACAAAAATCTGGGAGGAAGGCAAGGACTGAGGAGCTGCCATGGCAGATCAGCTCTGTGATCCACCCAGGATGAAGTCTCTTCCCACGGTAGGGGACTTGTCACCTGCTCAGCCTCTGAGCAGTAAGAGGAAGGCAGTGTCTTACTCTGCACCTCCACCACTGAGAAGCAACAAACAAAAGGAAGGTTACAGCCAACCCCAGGCAGCAAAAAAGACTTTGGCTACCATGTGAAGTTGGAGCAGGGGTGCATTAAGGACAGCCTGATTCTCACATACAGAAAGACTCTTATACTCTGGCCACATAGAAGAACCCTGAAGGGATTGCACACATATTTTACTCCCACTACCAGAGCAGTGCAAAGGAGCCCTGAGTTCCAACAAAAACCAGGCCGTCAGTCTAAGCATAGAAACAGATCCCAGCAGGAAAAGGATGCAGAGACTCACCATGGTGGAGCAGCTTGAAGTCTGTGCTGTCCAGCTCTCTCTCAGCCTCATTCCTCAGCTGCACTAGAAAGATGAGGCTCAGTAACAATGGCAGGTTCCTGTTGGCTAAGAAAGGAAAGGGATGGCTGGTCAACATGCTCCAACATACTGCTGTCCCAGAAGCATGTTCTGCTCACCTTGGAGCTCGCTTGGCAGAGGGGATGGGGTGGGGATGGTACAAGCTGATGTCCAAAATATCCTCCAATCATTGTGTCCTCCCTCCTTCACTCTGGTCAAGGCTGACCCTGACATCCTCTAAAGGCTGGTTACAGGTTTTTTTGAGTCCCATCAACACCTGCTCTAGGAGTAGCAGGACAAAAGCCAGAGGGTTGCTGTTTGGGGAAACACTCCAACCCAGGAAACCTGGATCTGCTCCACTCATGGAGCTTACATTTTATATCAGGGGTGGCCAACCTGCATCCCACAAGTGTCACAGGCAGCCTCCTTGTGTGGCGCACAGTAAACCAGGAAGGGGAGAGGTAGAATCATGGTGGATAGGACTGGGAGCAGAAAGCAGAGCAGCAGATCAGACAGGGAAAGGGAATTGGAGTGGCACTCGGCGGAGGTACAGGGCTAATTTGTGACATGCTACCAAAAAGGTTGAGCCCCCCACGCCCTCTCTTACATCCTTAATGGGCTAGCAAGAGACATTCTCACCTGCAGTTTTTCAATCTTATAGAACCTTCATAGAAGCTAAAAATCCACCACTCTCTCCACCATGATTCTTTCTGTACTTTCTTTGTGTAGCCAAACACCTACCCCTATTAGGCACTTGAGTTCTCATCCCCCCATGGCCCACCATCTCCCAATCTGCAACATATTTATCCTCCCCCCCACCCCTGGCAAGCAGAGGAGCAAACTAGCAACTCCATGTTGCAGCAAGGAAATGGAGGGAAAGTCTACACTGTGGTAAAAGCTGCAACTGCAACTGGTGTAGACAGCCCTGAATTTGTTTCAGATGGGCTCAGGTAGTAATCCCAGCAGAATGGCAGCAGCACAGAGCTGAATGGGAGCTAGCTGCTTGAGTACATACCCAGGGGCACGGGTGGATTTTGCAGCCCACACTGAGCTCTGTGCTGTCACAGCTGCTGGCTTGGGTAACAGTACCCAAACCAGCTGGCTTAATGCTAGCTCAGGTCTGCCTACACATGCTACACTCATGTCTTTGACAGCAGTACAAATATACTTTAAAACATAGGCAGACTGGCTGAAGATAATCTGCCCTCCTTATTGGCACCAGCAATTGTACTGAAGTGCATGGACTCTTCCTACACAGAGAACTGAACCAGCAGAGAGGAATGACTTCCAGTCACTATCTGAGGGTTGGTCTACACAGAAATATTTACCAGCACGACTCCCTGCCTATACACTCTAATGAGAGTGTTTTTTCCTGCTTTAGCTTCTGTGCTTTGAAAAAGGTACATGTTAAACTAGAAAAACTGTCCTATTCCAGAATAAGAGTATCCACACAAGTATAGTTCTGCTAGCAAGCATCCCTGCGTAGACAAGCGTTAAAACTGGATTACAAACTGTGGCAAAAAAATCAAAGACCTCTTAGCACGGATTTAATCTCTACACTCTGATGCTGTCTGTTATGGGGCTGGAATTACACAGGGAATTCACCTTGTAAAGTTGCAGAGCTGCTCTCCACCAGCAGCTGTTGCAGAATCTGGAGAAACTGGCTTCGGAGAAGGTCACAGACCAAGACATTCTCGTTTCTTTTCAAGAAGACCTTCAGTGTCATCAGCACCTTGTGGGCCACTTCCATGGTGCTTGAGCAGACGAGATCCTGGCAGGAAAGAATAGCCATTACCTTCCTGCCCTGACTAAGCAAAAGTGGCAATTGATCATCACCATTACACTACATTGGTTCTTGGGGAATTAGGATAACAAAGTGGCCATCTATGTTTAACATGTCCTGACCACACAGAATACAAGGCATGAGGGAGATGCACTCTGCCCTTTGTGAGAGAAATACCTTCATTAGCAGGTTCTGACCCACTAGAAATATCTGAGTCCCACCTAGTGTGCCTGAAGTGTTGGGTGTCCAAGTGGCCTGATTTTCAAAAGTGCTGCTGAGGACCCGGCAATTCCCACTGACTTCCTTAGGGGCTGCTACTTCATATATTAAGGCCATGTGCAGTCAAACCCTCGGAGGTGAGCACCAATGAAGTAACCAGGGGTATATAGTGCCACAGCAAACAGCTGAGTGTGACAGCTGAAGTGCTCCACATGATTTCCACAGCTTTAGTCGCAAAGGATGCTGCTTCTCCTGTTAGCAGAGCAGGAACATTGATTAGCTTGAACTCACTGGAGAAGCAGCACCCTTTGAAGTAAAAGTCACAGCAATCCACTGCACAGCTCCTCCTTAATTTAACACCCTGCTGCAAATTAAGTGAATTGTGAGCCACCCAGAGACAAATGATTTGGGTTCATATCTGTATTTAAGCCCTTAAATAAGGGGCTTACAAACCTACCATTGGATGCACTTTTTAAAATGTTTGGCTTAGAAGCCCAACATGTGTAGGAACAACATAACATAAACACTGGGTAATAATTGAACCCCAAAATTAGAAATGGGGGGAAAATTATTCATTTGGTCCCTCAGCATCTTTTTGTAGGAACAATTTGTCCTGGAGTCTCCTGGTTAAACCAGGCTTGACTAGCATTGACCACCATTCAGCAAAACCCTTACTCATGTGCCCTGCTGGGAGCATGCACTTCTGGGCTTTGCTGAATGAGGATGAATTTAGCTTTATGCTTAATGTTTAGTTCATGCTGAAGTGCCTTGTGTAACTGGGACTGATAAAGCCTAAGGTATAAAATACTGAAGATATAATAACAGCAAGGAAGAGGACACTACTCAGAGCTGAAATAATGTGTTCAGTCTTAGTGACTTCAGCTCAGAAAAGGTACAGCAGAAAAAGAGGGGATTCAGAAACAGGCAACAAAAATGCTTTAACAGCTAGAGCCACTTTAATCTGAAAAGAGATTAAAAATACTGGGAATGTTTAGTTTAGAGAGATGAATATGAGAAAACATAATGGAGGTATAAAAGAGACCAGGGGTACAGACAAGGTAAACTGAGCTCTCCTCCATTTACTCTCTTTCACAATGCAAGGATAGGAGGGGGCCATTCAGTGGAACAAAGGCAACACATTTAAAGCAGCCAGTAGGAAACCCTCAGACCTAAAGGTAAATCAAGGACAATGATGGGAAGATAACATAAAACATTATCTGGAAGGGACAGGCAAAGACGCAACAAAGTAGAAGGAGACTGCACAAGGTAGGGAGAGATGGAAGGCAGCAGTGAAGGCCATTATAGGCCCTCAAGGCCTGTGAAACCAGAGAAAGAGAGCCCTTCTTTATACAATTGCCTTGTGCCATAAAGTATAATTGAGCATAGTAGACTTCAATATGAGTATTTATATGAGTTATGAGAACATCCACAGCTAAATGAGCTAGGGTAAAGTACCTGCAAAGTGTATAAACCTTGAAAGGTACAAGGGCATAAGCTGTCTGCTAACTCCTTTGAATTACCTGATATTGGTCAGCATACAACATGGACAAGTGAGCTGATCTGATAGATCAATTCCTGTGTTCATTACCTCTGACCAGCCCTATGATCCAGTGCTAATATTTAGTCCTGAATTCAATTTACAGTATCCTTTATTTATGCAGTACAGGAGAACAATCTAAAGTTGACCAATTCCAACTTCATGTGTGTGTTAACATGTTTCTTTTTGCTCAGGAACTCAAGGTCCACAGTGAAGCCACTCACCATCTGTTCTGTTTAGCCCAGAGTTTTAATAAGAGCAACCAAGCAAATAAAGCATCCTGGGAAAAACATTAATTTCATCTCCCTATAACATGCAGAGGCCTTTCTATTTTACTAGTGGCTTTACCTTCCTCCCAGGCTGGGGTTATTTATCTCTAAAGTTTGGTTTATAGCTGATGGAATATTTATTCCAAGATATTGGACTATCTTATTAGCCCATTTAAATTCAGATTGATTATGCTGTTCCCTTGCTGAGAGGTGAATTGTCACTGTCTGTGATTTATTACAGTTTACTTTAAAGCCTGGAACTGAGTTAAATTAATTTATTTCTGAAACAGCATGTGGCAAAAAACAAATGGGAAAGTGGGAACATAATGCCATTTGCAGAACATGCAATAGTTTCTCTATTTCATCATCCAGAACTGGCTTCGTCTTTATACAGCGATGATATATAAATTAGTTGTACTTTGTTGGGTGAGGGATGCCAAAATGGTCTATCCAATTATTTTTGGCAATAAGTCATTCTAGGACATCCTTACTTTTAATTCAGACTGATCTGTCAGCTAACCAATCACTTTTAATGATGGTCTGGAAATTATTTGCCTGAATATGACTTTGTATTCTGGAACACAGTCCAAAGTGGTGAAGGCTTCCTCTGAGGAATGGACTTTGTCTCTATAGGCCCTCTCAGAAACTGGTGAGAATTAATGTTGCGCTGTCTGTTGGACGAGACAAAACACGGCCACCCTCTTAAACCATGTGTACGCTGTCTGCTAAGGCCAAATCTGCCTCCCTCTCCCATTTTGGGAGGTTATTTATTCAAGAGTATGGCTACTATTTTATCTGAAAGCTCAACAGTTACAGTAGGAAATTAGGCTTCTCTTCTGAATAATATGTAGCATTCTTCTAGAATCAAGGGGCTGAAAGAGACCTAAGGGTCACCCAATCCAACCCCCTGCACAACTGCAGAATGTGCCATACCTGCATCATCCCAGACAAATGCTTACCCATTCTCCTCTTAAAAACTTGCAATGTAGGATATTCCATACCTTCTCCAAGCAAATTGTTCCACTGTCCTACTGATCTTTCTGATAGGAAGGATTTTTTCTGAAAATTAATCTAAATCTGTTTTGCTGCAGTTTAAATCCATTCCAGCAAAACCATTAAAATCTATTATTAGGTATAAAAAGAAATAACTTAGCTTAGGTGCTATGCTTCTTTTCTTATAGACTCTAAGCCACCATGTTTTCTGGTACAAATATTATAATATTTATTATTTGAAAGGGTAACTTATCTTGGCCTTATCAAAAGCCTTCCTGTATAGCCATGGAGACCTGGACCCTTTCATGATTATAGTAGGTACTAAGTTTGATGGAGATCTGCTGACTGACACTAGCTGAAACCCTGACTTATTACTCCAAGGGCTGAGAAGACTTTTGAACAGTGAAAGATCAATCCCAAAGGTTTTTGCTGTTGTCTTTTAAGAGCAACACAGGCATGGGAGGATGTAGGATTTTGAAAATTGGGTGCAGATGGTATGGCACATCATCACATATAACAATGTATTTTTCTCCAGTTTAAGAGAAACTAGACGCTTTACTAATATGCTAAAGAGACAGCACTATATTATTTAGTTTAAGATCAAAGCAAAAACAAATACTACCAGTTACACAGTTCCCTTGATGATGGGCTTCACTGTCTACCCAAGTTCCAGAGGCAACCAAGCATCTTAGCTGGGTTGCCCAGGTACAGCCAATGGCTACTTCCATGTCAAATTTGCACAGGTGGTACAGGACTGAATATAGCAGGGGCAGGCAATTATTTTGGGTGGAGGGCTGCTTACTGAGTTTTGGCAAGCCATTGGGGGCTGCATGGCAGGCAGCCCAGGGCAGATTAATATTAATTTTCTAAATTTTTTTAGGGGCCCTGCGGGCTGGATAGAAGGGCCTGGCATGCCGCATTTTGCCCATCCCTGGAATACAGTATATACAAAGGAAAATTTTCTGCATAGATTCCGAATTCAGAGAACTGTTTATCTATTAACTGAATTGCTTTCCCAAATCAGGCCATTAGTGGCAGGCTGTCCTTGTAGAAGTCACATACCAGTAAAATGAGTAAAATGCTGGAGTTGCCTTTCAGGATATGAAGTAAACTGTTAAAGCCATTTGGGCAATCAGGCAAGCCAGAGGAGAGTTCAGAGGCAGCATCTTCAATCTCCATTTGACTGCAGTCTTCCCAGGAAAACCAGAGTTGAAGAATCTGGTGACCAAACCTGCCCACAAGCTCGGAATAACGCAGGAAGAATTTAAGCAGGAGAGGATGGTGAACATAGATTGAGCCCACATCTGATATATTCTCCACGATCCTCTTGATGGCACACAGAGGACTCTAATCAGCAGGGAGAGACAGAGAGAGGAAAATAATCCCTAGACTCTGAGGAAGCAGAAGCTAAAGGGCATTTATAGGCAGGGGCACTTTAATTAGCAGGGCTCTGAGAGCCGCACTAATTAAAGCTCCCAGAGTATCACATGTATGTGTCCCTGTGCTAAAAAATGGCAGCAGGGATGCTTTAACTGAAGCTTGTCAAACCAGCTTTAAAGTGCCCCTGCCACCATTTTTCAGTGCGGGGACGTTGATACACATGACACTGGAGTCTGCTGAAGCACAGTAATTACCATGCTCCAGCAGACCCGATTAATCAAGTCTGCTCCTACGTGCTGTAATTACAGTGTGTTGGAGCAGCCTCCCTGCACATGTATAGGAGCCCAAAGTGACAGGACTCTTGTGTGGGAGAAAGGCAGTCAAGTTTCCTGTTTAAACAACTTGTCAATATCATCTAAACACAGTCTTTATGGAGTCCTACTGAATCACCAGGGCTAAGGACCACTTTGTAACTTCTAGTCAGTGCTCTAAAACTGTGGAGCAGAAGATAAACTCTACAGGAGCATAAGAAATCCTGATGACAAGGTTGTCAGTGCATTCAGGAGGTTGAAGTTAAGGAACTTCTAGAAGCCTTCACACGTGCTCATCCATGCCACAAACACCTTCCCACATATGTACAACTTTATTCACTCAAACCTGTATCCCACAGTGCTCTCTACACTTAAGTAATCTGAGAACTCCCCACCTCTTCCTATCATCAAATACAGTTGCTTTCAAAGAGGATAAGGGCATGGGGAAAGAATTCTGCTTTTACCAAGTCTAAGGCTTCGCCTTTGTCTTGACATATAGCCAGAAGGTAAAGAACAGCTCTGAACACATATGGAGGGGGACAGTCTCCCTGATCCTGCACTGACAGAAGGAAACTCCTTATGGCTGAGAATAATTCTGCTTCTGGAACAAATCTGTAAACAAAGAGATGGGAGACAAGAATCCATAAAGCCAGCCCAGCCTCATCTGGGGGCTGCCTTGTTCAGACCCTTCCTTTGCTCACCTGTCTTCCATGGTATAGGCAAAGTACAAGAGAAGCAGGAAGCAATACTGGTGGCTGCGAAGGGCTTCATCTAAACAAAATGGCTCTGCGGTTTCTGACAGGAGGATGAGGCCTTCAGGCACACTGTAGTTTAACTGAGGCAGACTCCTCTGCAGGAGCTCAGACATCTCTTGCTCTAGAAAAGAAGCTACGTTGAGAATGGCAGGAAGAACTGAGGAATACCAGAACAAAAGCAAAGACATCTGCGCTGAGAGAAACAAAGGAGAATCAAGCCAAGAGCATTAAATCAGGGAGATGCCTGACTGAGACATCCAAAATCCACTCTTTGGCCCCAGAGCAGGCACAATACCAACAACAGTGCAGCATATTTTTCTGATTAAGCCAGCAGATATGCTTCAACCCTGACCTGGCCAGGGTACCCCTAAGACTGAGAAGGGAATTCAGCTGTTGTGACCTAGTCTTATCCTTGGCACTCTGGTGAGGCCATGAGCAGAAATGGGACCAAGTGCTAACCACATGTGGGTCTTTTCTACTGCAGAAACTCATGCCCCACCCTCAGCAGGAGTAACAGACTACTTACAGCCCATCTGCCCTGGGAGAGGTACCAGCATAACTATGAAAACAATATAAGCTAGCCAGAAAAAAGCATTTTTACTCCACAGTAGAAGTGTCCTCATGGAGACTTACACCAGTATACTTCTACTAGTCTAGTTGTGCCAATAGACTTCCCCATATGGACATGCCCCAGCCAATATATTTGCAGAGATATATTTTTAAATGGCTCAAGGCTTGGTTTGAAGAACATCTAAGTATGTTTGGAAAAGCCCCATTTCCAGAATGCCCTCTTGGTGGATCAGCTAAGAAAGATGAACATCATTTGAACAGGGACACAGAGGATCCAACCACAATGAACCTGATGACATTATTATAAAATAATTGGAACTACCCAATTAACTAAACTTGCCCTCCTGGGAAGACTTCTTCATCTTCTCTGCAGTTGAATGAAGACTCAGGCACACATTGTAGAGGAAGCAAGAACAGGCCTGATTCAAAGCAGGGTTGCTTGAAAGAAGGACAGAAAATACAACAAGGAAGGATATCTTGGTCAGTTATATTCTCACCTGCCTCATGGCATCATACATTTATATGCCAGAAGACTGGACCTAAGGGCAAAGACTTAGTGCATGTAACAAGAGCAGGGGCATGTTCAAGAGCTAATGCTGCAAAGCAGCAAAAAATTATCTGAAAGGTTAGGACTGACTCTCCTAATCAACTCCCTCCCTCCCTTGGCTGGGAAACCCCTAAAAAACAGGGCTTCCCTACCACTTTCATAGCATGGACTGTCACATTATAATGCAGTGGCTCATGAATCACCTGCTCTGCTATTGCCCATCACAGGGTACCTCCTCTCCCATTCACACTCGCAAACACTGTCTTAGTCACACACCAAAAACGACAGGCCTGGACAAGCCACCTGCACTGAGCTACTACTTGGAGAAAAGTAGCTACAACTGGATACAATGTAAGCTAATACCACATGGTTAGTCAGCCCTCTGCAAATAATTGTAAGTGCACCATGAGTCAGAGGCCATAACGTGGGAACTGCTGCTGGACCGGATCCAGCTCTGTGTGGTCTGTTAAGAGTTCTTGCCTCTCCCTTCCCTACTGATGACCTCACCCACAATATCAGGAGCATGCAGTGTTCCTGGAAAGCCAGAGCTCAGTAGGGCAGAACTCACTGTAGCTTCTCCTTTCTATGGCCTCCAGTGTTGTTCCTCGATCACAGCAGCACCATTCTGACTGTACACATCTTGTGTCTTGCATCAAGTTTTCATGGTGCTTTGTAATTCAGCTTTACCATAAATGCTCAGCTGCTTGTCTCCGCCCACCTGACTTTTCCTTTCTAATTACTGTTCAGGTCTTGCAACAAATGAAAAAGAATGATGGTTCCAGGACTGAGGCATCCCCTTCTAATTCAGGTGCAAAAATAAGGTAAGATGTTTCCTATGCTTTCTCCTGGAAAAGTCTTAGTTTAGTTGCCTACCTCTGTCCAGAGCAGAATTTGACCTTCAGCTCCAGTGTCAGTCGGATGAAAGAGGAGGACACTAGGAGGAAGGCAGTGGTGAAGGACACTAAAAATACAATGGAAGCACAGAACATCTAAGGCAGGGGGTCCCATGACCAGCCCTGGCCTCTCAGCACAGCAGCTGGCAAAGGCAGCAAGTCGCCCCAAACAGAAGGCATCTTGCAAGCCTTGCTCTCTCAGAGGATCCACAGGCAAATCATCTTTGCAGATTTTGGAGGGGGGCAGTATCTGATTCACTGGCTCTACAGGTCCTGGTGGGAAGGGAGAAGTAAGCTCCACCACGTGTATAAAGTCAAAGGAGGAGAATTAAGTACCCTTGCATCCCTAACCCAGGAGGGCATAAAGAAGACACACTCAGAGGCACTCTACATAGGAACTACTGCACCAAGAGAGAGCTTTTTGGTACATCTAACATGAGCTCCTGTCTACAATGGCCAATCCTGGGTGCTTCCAAGGAAGCAGTGCTGTTTTCATGATACACCTTGCTAAAGTAAGATCCCTTCCATCACACAACAGATTTTGTTTGGATTCCTAGTTTTTATCTTAGAGAATGTAAGCACCACAGACACTATGCTTACTTCAGCAAATGCCCTGTCCTCCCACCCCATGTGAAATCTTGCTAAACTACTTCAGTAATATCCATCAGCAACAAGTTCCACAGAATAAACAGGTTGTTTATTATGCAAAAGCAGCACAGTGACAATGATGTAATTGCCTGGCATACCCAGCTTTCTTGAGAACTTCTCACACATGTTTGGCACCATGGTGAACAGGGTGTTAAGGGTTGAGATGAAAACCTCCATCAGAGTTGGGCTGACAGTCTGTTCAGAATACTTCTGTAGGAAAAAGACATTCTCAACAAGCAAGCACCATATCCCCTTGTGACAAGAAACATACAAACATTCCCAAAAGGAAACAGTGATTTTTTCCAGTGGTTCCCAGGTGTGCCAAGCCAGACAAATATGCTTGACTAGCAACCCCTGTCCCAAGACTGCTGACAGAAAGTGCTCTGTCTCAAACAGCAGCCTATGCTAGGTCCTTCACAGACTTAATACCTTCCTCCCCTGTGAGCAGTGTAATAAATTATGCAAGATTGTGTACTGGGATTCACAACCTTTCACCTGAGCAGGCTGCAGCTTGCGGCCTAGCCTTTGCTTTGGGCTGCAAGTTTCTGCCCCTCCCCACACTCCAAGCAGCCAGCTGCCAGATATCCAACCACTCTGCAGCGAGGATAAGCTCAGATGCTGTAGAGCAGCAGGCTCTGCAGTGGATGCAGAGAGGGTGGGTGGCACAGGGCAGCTCCGTGACATCGATCTCCCATGCCAAATTGGACCTTGGGTCATAGGTTGCCAAACTCATGCTGTACACTAATTGCAGGATGTTTCTTCCTGATCCCAGCTGGTAATCAGTTAATGGCCCAAGGCACAAGGATTGATACTGCAGTATAAAACACTTAAGCAGGTAAGGCAAGCAGCAATCTAAATTTCCCAAATCCCACTGATTTCAATAGTTAAGGCACTACCCTCTTCTAAAATACCACAATGTTGCAACCTACAGAGTAAGGTGAGTGTAAGGCACCTAAAACCCTAGCCCCTACTGCCTTGTGAGTATTCCTTGGTTGGAGAAGGACTAAGGGACATCACCCTAACAGAAATGCACCCTTGCTGGTGTTAGGCAGTCATCAGCAGGACTTATCTGTTGCTCTCTGGCAGAAGCTACAGCCTTCAAGGCACTGATCCTCTGGACTCAGTCTGGCCTTTGAATTCTGTTTCAATGGTCTAAACGGGGGATGGTAGGCCTTGGGCAGCCTCCACTACTCCATACACTTGCCTAGGTATACACATCAAAGGTCTTGGTATGATGGCTGCAGGACTCTGTACAAGCAGATTCATCAGATACCTGACTAGACCTCTTGCACCATGATCCACGATGGTTGCCTACTAAACCAATTTAAAAGTACCTGCTAATTTGTGTAGGAAGAGCCAGCTCGCAGTTTTCCACACTTCATTAATGATCATTACAATGGTGCCCAGAACTCCCTAGCTTCTGTTCAGCTGCTGACTCTTCATGCAGACTGGTTATGTCTTTTCTCAGAGCATCTTCTCCTAACAGAAGCTGTAAAATTGTCAGGATCTGGGGCTTAGTCCATGGCCACATAAGACTGAATGCAGCCCATCTTGTCTGATCTCAAACACTAAAAGTTCCTGGGCCTAGCTAGGACTCAGATGGGGGCCTCGCTAGTATTCCTGGGGGCTGGAAGCAAAACAGCAGCTGCCAGCTGCTACAAGGCTTCTACCAGCAGACAGCAGCTGGCACGGGGAAGCCACCCCAGCACATACACACCTTCACAGCTCCACTACAGCAACTGGCAGCTGTACCAGCAGGGTGTGCAGTGCATCCTGGGTGGAGGGCAGCTGTTAAAGAGCCACTGCAGCTAGCAAAAAGCACAGACCTACCTACACGTGCTTTATGTTGGTTACCTGGCGGTGGTGGAAGCCTTGTATCACTCACGGGGCTGACGCTGCTCTGACACTAAAACGGACAGGTCCTGTCCATTCTGTAGGGTAGACCTGGCCCTAATCAGCTGCATGACTGACTAGCACAGCACTGACAGTGGTTGAGATGGGCCAAGGATTAACAGCCCATTCCACGTCAGGCAATTTACTGCCACAGGAACCTGCTATATGCAGCATGGACTGTATTTTTAATTTTTATTCTAGACAGAATCACTCTAAGTGTTATCCCAGTTCAGCTACTGAGACCCAGAGTCAACAAAGCAGTGAATGGCAGACTTACATGTTTAAGCACATGTGTATATTCCACTGATGGACTTGTACATCAGTGCCTTGTTGAATAGAGATAGGCATAAGCACTTACATGCTCTGGTCTGAAGCCTGTCTCTAAAGAGTTTAGTGATAGATTTGTATGAAGCACAAGATATAGGTGTAACAGCCCACTCCTTTTTTAAAACCTCATCCTTTCCTCTATCAAGCTCTGAGCCTAAATAATGTCCTACGATTGTAAGTTCCATGGGTTAATTGATACACTGTGCAAATAGATGAAAAAAAGGAAATTGCAAATGCCTAATTCTGTTGCTTTCCACGATAGTGCCAGGTTTTGAAAGAGGAACTGAGGAAAAGCAGTGCACATATCCATCACCTCCAGCAGCAGCCAGACCTGCCTTTCATTACATAATTTGGGAGGCTTAGCTATGGCAGAGATTACAAAGTTGGGAGATATTTGGCTGTTCTGTACAAGGAGGTGCTTCAAAGCATTTACCCTCTGGATTTCTCTCTTCCCTTTCCCATAAATCAAATCATTTGGTATTTGTTCAGTGGTGAGTCAGGATACACTACAACCCTACTTGCATGAACATGATGCACTGGTTTACCCTCATACTCCTATTTCCCCACAAAGATTCCTTTCAGTCATCTCCCATGAACATCCAGGCAACTCAGGCAATCCAATCCATGTGCCTGAGGGACAGAAGTCACCCTACCATGTGTTTGGAAGTCACCCTACCATGACTAGAGGGATGCAAAGATGGTCACAAATCCTCAGCAGAAATGCAGAGAAGTTGCTCAGGGTATTCTCACTCTCTGAGCTGGGAGCAGTAAAAGCATTCTCCTGAGCTGAGGGATCACTTTGACATTCCACTGCCAACCTGCAAATACACATGAAAGTATCAGTAAATGCATTCTCCTACTTGGTAGGGGAGCCATGATGTGCTACATTCTATAAGGCCTTTTATCCCAAAAGACCTTAGAGCACTTTGCATGTTGCAAGTAAGGAAATCTGTCAGTAACATGTAGCTGCCCCTTGTGTAAAACCAGACAGCCAGTCAGAGCCAGCAATGCTACTCAAGAGTGTCATGGAAAAGGAAAAGAATAACAACTTCTCCAAATTAAACTCCTGCTGCAGGAGTCAGGGGACATAGTTAAGTTAAATGTACTTAATCAGTCTGGAATTTCTCCAGAACACACAGGCTAATGCCTTAAAGCTTACAAACATTGCCAAATAGTATTTTAACAATCCTAGATGGCTGGGATCCCAGCTTGACTTCTCAGCTAAGAGAAAGCCTGATAGAAGCACGGCGCCTCCTCACACCACTCCCACACATCCTTTCACCACACACCAGAAAGAGTACCTTTGCCTGAATAACTACTGCCAGATCAAATCAGTGGCATGAGACTGAGTAATCTGAGTAATCTTTTATACCCACAGCCCTGGTTTGAAAAACAAGTTCAGGTCCTCTCCCTGACTGCCTCAGCTCAGAGGAGAAATCACTCCCTCAGACCAAACTGGAAGAGAAGCTGCCTACAGTCTCCTCCAAGGGCTCCTATTTGCAACAACAAGCCAGAAATACAACCAACAAGTATGACAGCTAAATCCAGGCACACATTTGTTAACTGGCTACATTTCCTCTAGTCATGAAGAGGGACTGCATGGCTCAGCAGGCTGGAAATGGAGTCCAATTTGCCACCCACCTTCCACCAATTCAGATTGAATCACTAGAGTTGGTTAGTGACCAAAGTTGGTTAGTGTTATTTTCCAACACTTTAAGGACCTGTATGCAGTCAGCTGGTGGGTATCAGTCTAATTTCTAATGGGACTGGTGAACATGTCACAAAACCATCCCCCCAAACCAGTGCTAAGTGTGGCCTTCACAGTGCTTCAGCAAAAAGGCCAAGGACTGAACAGGCCACTGGGCAGCAAATTCCAGAGAAGCAGTCTCCCTGACCAAAGTAAAGTCCCCAGGAGGGCCCTTGCTTTGCAGCTGCCTGCAATTCACATGCTCTGTAGATAGAGAATTTGAGTCTCCATTGTGTCACCTTTCAGCAACACCACAATATCAATGGCACTTAATATTAAAAAAAAATTAAATTAGTGCAGGTGGCTAAGCCTGCTCTACCTTCTGGCTACCACATGGCTGATACACCAAACAGCAGCTGTTCTGTAGATGGTATGTATGCAACATGAGATGCACTTACCTTCACGTAAAAGTGAAGAGAGACTGAAAAGACTGCTAGTGAGTACTGTGTGTGTGGGAGGAGAATCGCTGACTGAACCAGGAACAACAGGACTCCCCTTTTCAGCTCCTCACCTGCAAGCATTTCTGAAGCCGTCCAAGGTGCTGAGCAGGAATTGCCCCTGCCTGAGGAGAGCTCTGGTCTGGTTTCTGTTTCCTGAGTGACTCTGAGCTACTGAGAAGAGGAGGTCACCCTGTTACAAGAGGAAAGCAGGGATCTTGTGCAACAGAAGAACTCTCTTCTATAAAGCCACGAAATGAGCCAGCAAGCTCCATTTATTTAGCTAAGCTCATTTCACTTGCAGATTGGTACCTTTGTGTTGAATGTTATTGCCACAGTCAGCTTCCCTTTAAAGGTTAGACACAGAAAAGACCTATTAGATATTGCTATGCTCCTCAAGCAACACAATATTTAAATAGCTTCAGTGATAAGCCTCCTGACACATCCTCAAGCTGGATGCCCACCTTCCATGTTCTTTGAATTGTGTTTCGTCCTGTTACTCCTTACACAACCTTCAACAACTCCTCTCCCATCAATCTACTTGTAAGACCTTTGTGTTGCTCTTTAGACTCCAATTCTACAGCTGATTCTGCACAGATGTCTCCACACAGAGTCCCTACAACTTCGACAAGGAGTTCACTTATGTTTAGGCAGCTGCCGGGTCAAAGCATTAGTCACTCAGCTAAGTTAAGGCACACATCAGTCTTCCTCCAGCCCCTGGATCATTTGCATTACTCCTTGTGGATTCTTTCCAGCTGGACAGCAATAAAAAAGTTATGAGTTGGTGCCCAAGTGAATTCCTTTCCCATTGGATGCTAAGGCATCTTCCACCGCACTGTAAGTAGCACCATTTTCTGCTCCACTCCAGTCAAAACATACCAGGATCCAGTCTCCTTTTCTACAGCCTATTTTCCCCTCTATTAAAAATCCACTGTCCTAATGAAGCACGTAACTCAGTCGAAGCAAATCAGCCTCTAAGCTCCAACCAAGAAGTGAGAAACAACATCACTATCCCCAGCATGCTAAGGCCCAGACAGCAGAGGCCACACAAGCCAGACCGTGCATAATTCTCATGACAGTTCAGCATGTCCTGCGTAATCCTACATTTCTGTCAGGTACTTCTCCCATCATGAACACACTTGTGATTTAGGCCCATGCACATGTAAATCTCAAACAGAGACTCTCAGCCTTCATTTTGATGTTCAGTCACTTGAAATCACTGCTCCTCTTCAGGTCTGGCCTGGAAATACAAGTGCCAGAAAGAGGGAAGGACCTGGAATCCAAACAGCTGCTGGGAGGGACCACAAACCCCAAAAGGCAACTCTGGTCTGAAGGCAAAGACATTGCAACACACATGGCAGAGGCAGCATGCAATGATGGTGCCCAGAACCTGGGGTGGCTTGAATTCCCTTGGAACTAGCAGGGCTAGGGAGGAAGCCAGCTAAGCCCAGAGGAAAGGAATGCCTTGAACAACTTGGTTACAAGCTTCTCCCCTCTTGCACTGATCTGGCAGCAGCAAAAGAAGCTTCCAAAGGGGTCCATACCCAGCCTCTCTCACCTAGACAGACAGGTCAGTCCACACTGGGGCCTTTCTGAGAAGAAAAATCAAAGGGAAACTGTGGGGATCGCTAAGGGTGACCCACCACCCCCCATGGGATAAGAAGACTGAAATGTGCATGCATATGGCAGCCAGGTACCCTGCTAAAAGGGCCATTGCCCACTCTCTGCCAAGGAGCAGCAGTGTGACTTACTGCAGGCCTTCTGCTACTGCATGGCAAGGAGAGGTCAGCACATCGCTTCAGCACAGCTTCCATCAGGGTCTGCAGCTCTTCATATGGCATTGGGGGGGAACTCAAATGGTCCTTCCTGCAGAAACAGGGGGAAAGGAAGAAAACAATGCGCGACTTGGAAGAAAACTTTGAGCAACCACATTGGGGACAGTGCTGTCTGGAAAGCCACAACATGGTACACTTTGCATGGCCAAGACCTTATCTAATAGCAGCACGCCTCACCAATGCACCTCAGCCAGTGTGGCAAGGCCACACAATCCAGGACCAGTGCCTCCACAACCCTATGACAGGGCTAAAAGCGACTGTGATTGAGTCAGGGCTTGTGTGTCTATAATCAAGAGTGGGACTGTAGCATGTGTAGATATACCCCAAGCTAGCTATTATCTACCCAGCCTGAATAAAGCTGGCCAAAGACCCTGGGTTCTTCCCTGGGCAGCTAAGCTGTGCCTACAACCATGTTGCTGTAGCTTCATCACTACTGCTACCAGAGCAAGCTAGAAGAACACTATATCAGATACAACTACACACACTGGAATCACACCTGTGACTGCAGAATAAGCACATCCTCACACAGACCAAGCTGCAGCTAAAGAGGCCAAAACGAGTAAGATGTACACATGAAGTCTAAGCTATGTCTCTTCTGAAAGAAGCCTACCAGATTTCCACCCCCCTCCTCCCCCACCACTCACCTCAAAAGAGCAGCCACAGCTTTCACAGCCTCTGCTGCTACTTCCAGCACCGGGCAGTTGACTGCCTCCATAAGAACACTAATGGCATTTTTGCACATGGCATGGTTTGTGAATAACTTGATTTCCCTCGGCTGCCTGCAAAGGGTAAACAAAGAACAAATGGGTAAAGATTTGCCACTGCTCCTGCTTGAAAAGAGACAGAGAGAGAGAGAGAGAGAGAGAGAGAGAGAGAGAGAGAGAGAGAGTGTGTGTGCGTGCGTCTAAATACAAGAAAAATACAATGGTGTCCTCTCCTTGCTCCCCAAAATATACACCTGAACCTTGTGATGTCAGTCACACTATCAGGGACTCACATGATTGAGGCCCCAAGAACTGCCTTGAGATGGTTATGCTGTATAAGAGCATTGCACAGTCTAATATTTTTCTTTCAAACTTTCACACGGTTGGTGGGCTGTTGGCTGCTGGGTCATAACTCCTCTCATGATAGGTGTTTGTCCAAAGGGATGGAGATTTGCCAAGGTGAATAATCCAAATGTCCAGATGGCTAATTGACTGGATCAGCAAATATTGAACTGGACACTTCATGAGAAACCCACTCTCCCCCAAGATACTTATTTGCATTTTTTTCTACTTAGGCTTTTATACTGGGCTCCTTTTTCTGATACTTGCATGCTCATCTGAACATGCATGTTTCAAAATACCTAAATAGATGTCCTACTTCCACGGAGCTTGGCAATGGACTGAAACTGAAGATAACTTTCCTTACAGTACTGTGGTGCTGCTAACTGAACTTAAAAAAAAATCTTTTTAGTAAGTTGTAACCAAGCCTTTTTTTCTGGTTAGTTCATACAAATGAGAGTTGGTGATCAGATCCTCTCACAACAGAGTACACCAGAGCTGAGATGCTCAATCTTTTTGTTAACATGTAATATTGCAATGCACCCCTATGATTCCACATTAGAGGGAATGGAAACAGTAATGCTTTGGGTCACTACACCATGACCTGCCCAACTACCCAAGAGAGGCCTCAGAGGTGTTCTTCATTTTGTCGTTTTTGTTCTGTTCTTCCATTTACATTTCTGCCTCATTCCTTCCTTGTGTTCCCTTTGGAATTTTGGTGCATGCGCCCCAGATTGACAATCACTGCAGTAAACTATTTAGTGTTCAGGGCCTTTATTGATGTTACAACACAAGGAGTAAGCATAAGTGAGTGCAGTACACTATTTCATCACCCCACACCTCTGCACCCAAGACCCAGGCAAGAGCTAAGAACAGCAAGTTGGACAGAGGGTGGGGGAAATGCCCCTTGGGTGGGTTGGGGTCCATGGCTGGTTAGGGATTATGGTATTTACACAAAACCTCAAGTTTTTCTCTTAGCTTTCTGATGTTGTTAAAAATGTGCTTTACACCTGTTTCAAACAACAGCCCCTTTGAGGAAAAGCTTCACTGACTGATTTGAGGGGGATTTCTGCTGACTTATTCAAACAGTAAAAACAGTACTGCAATACAATGTATTGCAACATCATTTGGGCCTGGAGAAAGTGTGAGACAGAAGGGGAACAACCTTGTGTAGGCTGGCTGACTGACCATGAACTACAAATCCCAGAGGCACCTGGAAGCAGGAAGAGGAAGTGACAAGAAACCCTGCAGTGCCTTGCTGCTGGACTGCAAATCCCAGAAAACTTTGGGGGCAGGAGGAAGAGGTGGTGACCTCTGAGCCTTGGCTGGCTGTGCCACAAAACTTGGATGATATGTGGTGCCTGCTGTGAGATGGACTGAAGGAGAGGGAAGCCTCTGCACAGCATAGATGAGCTACAGACTGACTGCGCATGATTCCCGACCTACAGACCTGCACAAAGCAACTCTGAACTAAAGGCTGGTTCTTGGAGACACCTCTGGAGGTGGGCAGGGGACCCTATGTGCTGAATGCATGAACCCCAGCAGTACTGACCACCACCTGTATACTTGCCCTCTAAGTGTATGTTTTTGTACTTTGGATACCTATGTACTTGTATTTGGCCCTTCCCATTGGCCTGTGATCCTAACCCCTAGGACACTCAATATAAAGTAAATCCTAGCACTTCCACAAACCCCTGCAGTGTCAGGAACAATCACTACAGCCAGTGAGGGATATACTTTTTATTGAGTGTCCTAGGGGTTAGGGTCACAGGCCAACAGGAAGGGACAAAAACAAGTACATAGGCATCTCAAGTATAACAATATACATGTAGAGGGCAAGTAAACAGGCAGTGGTCAGTACCATTGGGGTACATGCATTCAGCACTTACATCAGCATATGTTAACATTTAGCAGAAAGTGAGAAAAGAGAATGATGGGTACCACTGATACTCCAGCCCAGTGTGTCTCTTCTACCTGAATGCAACACAAGTGGAAATGAGAGCCTGTTTAATACCGAAGAAGGGGGCTAACATAATCCATTTGTTCATGCTGATGCTACCAGGAAGACTGCACTCACTGGTGGTCATAGCAGAAAGTGAGAAAAGAGAATGATGGGTACCACTGATACTCCAGCCCAGTGTGTCTCTTCTACCTGAATGCAACACAAGTGGAAATGAGAGCCTGTTTAATACCGAAGAAGGGGGCTAACATAATCCATTTGTTCCTGCTGATGCTGCCAGGAAGACTGCACTCACTGGTGGTCATGTGTGTGATCTACACAAGACAGTTTTATCTGAAGTCTTCAATTAGACCCCTTTTTACTGAACCAGGCCTCGCCCTTACCCCCTGCTTGTACTCAACATCTGCATGGCAACATCTGCATGAATGAGCCAGAAGGCAGTTCATTACCGTTTCAGTATTTCAGTGAATAGCAGGAGCCCCTGCTTGTGCAGCTCCACATTGTTCAGTAGCAGGATCTCTCTGAGACTTCTCACCAGAGACTCAATGCCTGCAAACATGGAAGGGGAGTAATAAGGAGTGTGCTCTCACACACACAGACCAACAATCCAGAAAGGGACTTGCAAATACCATGGCACCACAGAATACACCAGATACTCTCCTGCCTGCCAACTTGCCTCCCCTTCCATTTGGGAAAGTCACATCTGGAGACAGGAAGAGAATTTGGTCTCAATGGTTTAGTCAGTCCTTGTCCTCTCTGTAGAGACAGCCAGCAAAGGCACCACAAAGGCCAAACAGGATGTTGGTCTTTGTAAGGTCAGCACAGGCCCATTAGGAACTAGACTGAAATCTCACACTTTCATGTCACAGAAGTCCTCAGCCAGGAATAATTTCCAGTCACCGTCATCCTGATTTGGAATGAGTGACCTTACAGGAAAGGGTTCTGCAATCCCACCCCAATGTCAGAGGTACCAAGTCCCCCAATGGGTGCTTGTACACATGATGATATATATAATACTGCAATAACTTTGCAGGTCAGAAATCACCTACCATAAACTGTGTGACACTTGGAAAAAAAAAGCCACTCCTCTGTTAGAAGTAGCAGGCAGCAGTAAACTGACCAGATGAGAACTTCGCTAGTGCAGGAGAGGCAGTCAAACAGGAACTCTGCAAACACACAAAAAATTAAAACCCCAGGGAAAACAGAACCTGCATACAGCATGGAAAAATTACTCCTAGATTTGAGGAAAGAGGAACAGGAAAACTAACAAGAACAGCTAGTACTGGCAACAGAGCTGCTGGCTTTCTTCAGCTTAAGTGAGAAGAGCTGCAGTACAACCTGTGGAGAAGGCCAAGAGAAAGTGAGAAAGGAAATGATGATGGAAATACCATCTTCAATATAAAACAACTCCTGAAGGCTTGCGGATAGCCCTTCTTCCAGCATATAGTTAGCAAGCAGCTTTGTCACAGCTCTACTAACCCTCCCTCCCAAACTTTTATATAGCCAAACAAGGGGCCATACAAAAGCAACACGATTCATTTTTTCTGGGGCAATGGAAATTAAAATATTATATCAGCCTGGGTCTGCTTCCTGGGCCCAATGCTGAGCTGAATTACACCCTGAACATAACCCCACTTAAGTCCATGAATGGTACAGGGTTTAATTCAATGCAGAAACTGGTTTGTTTGGGTTCTGCAGCTCTGATACCACAGGCTGAAATCTCCTCAAAATACCCAGTCTAAAGAGGGATGGAACCGTCAGTCCTTGGACAGACAACTTCAAAGGAAAAGCTAGATACTGTGAAAAATATTTAGCAGTTTGATAAAGAGTGCTCTGAGTCACTGGGGGGCCTATAATTTCACTATGTTGCCAGCCATGTGGTGCAACTGGAAATGACATCTTTCAGACGAGATATAAGGTCATTTACAGATTAAAAAAAATATCCCCTAGCATCTTTTGCAAAAGGAATTGTGGAAGTTGATCTACCCAAATTACAACTCCAGACATTCTGTCTTCCTAAACCTCCTTCTATAGTTTGTCCAAACTCATCCTTCAATGCTGAATATTCCTGATGGTGCAGAATGGCTGCTTCCCCAGATTCCCTCTGAGGTGGCTTCATCCCATAGAACTACACTGACAAGTACAACCTGCAAAGTGCTTTGAGACCTGTGGGTGACAAACCCTATGGAATTACAAGGGATTACTGTCTCTTCACCTGGAATGTCTGCATGGATAAAGGCAGGAGCATATTTGACTGGAGAATGCACCAGGACAGCAGCCATACACTGAGTGCTTGCCACCTGTAATGTCTCATCCCTGGACAGCAACAGCTATGGAAAAGCAAAAACAGGAAGAGGAAGAATGCTATATATATAGCATTTATATATATGGTAAATGCTATAATTAGGGAAATACAAACTAGTTCCAAGTACTAGTTCCTAGTGGATACACAAGTGGTTGATTCATTGCAATCAATGAGTAGTCATCAACAGCTTAATGTTTAGGGATCAGGTGATGTTCCCCAGGGGTCTGGCTTGGGTCCAGGATTGTTTAACATCTTCATTAATGATCTGGATGATGGGACTGAGTATACACTTAGGAAATTTGCAGATGATACCAAGCAGAGTGGAGTTGCAGACCAGCTGGAAGGTAGGGCTAGGATCCAGAATGACCTGGATAAACTGGAGAAATGGTCCGCAATCAATCAAAAGAAATTCAACAAGGATAAGTAGACAGTCCTATACTTGGGACAGAATAATTGCACACACAGATACATACTGGGAAATGACTGATTAGGTTGCCGTACTGAAGGGAAGGACCTGGAGGTTATACTGGACCCTAAGCAGTAGAGGTATACCAGTACATTGGTCCCATATTGGATAAGCACCAATACAAGTAAAATAGAGAGCATCGGTAATCAGCATTTTTTTCTCTGATGTAGCCAATAATGTGGCCAATACATGCCTTGTGCAGGCACGCTGCAGCACAGCAGGCAGATGGCCAGGAGCAAGGCCTGACAGCATAGACAGCAGCATCCAGATAGTAAGTCTGTTGTGGGGGAAGGGAAGGGAAGGGAAGGGAAGGGAAGGGAATGGGCGTGGTGGGGGCAGATGGAGGCCCCCACTCTGAGGGAGGGAGTGGGAGTAGGGCTGGGGCAGGTGCTGCCCAGACGGGGCAGGACAGGGCATGGGATGGAGCCACAGCTCATCCAGAGGGCAACGGGGGGGCGGGCCACGGCTCCTGCCGCTACGCACATCCTGAGCGGGCATTGGTGGGGGGGTGCCCTGGATCTGCACACGGGGCGAGGGCAGGCTGCCACCAAGGGCTGGGGCTGCACCGGACTCTTGCCAGTGGGAGGCCTGGGTCAGGCTGTGCTCGGGGCGGGCGGCGACGGCACTGGGAGAGGAGCTATGGGGAATGGGGGGGCTGCAGCCACCCCAACATTTGCTATAGCCCCTCCAATTCTCCCTCCCAGCGCCACCACTGCCCACCCCAAGCTCAGCCCAGCACAGCCTCCACCAAGGATAGCCTGGCACCACCCTGGCCTCAGCCCGCAGCGGCAACCCACCCTCACCCTGCATGCACATGACCCCCATGCCCTCCCAGGGTGCATGCAACAGCGACAGCGCCCCCCCACCATGCCCCCCGAATGAACTGCGGCTCCATCCCATGCCCCGCCCCGGAAGGGGAAAGCCTGCCCCAACCCCACTTCCACTCCCTCCCTCGCTGCGGGGGCCTTGATCTGTTCCCCCTACGCCCCTTCTCTTCCCCATCCCTTCACCCACAACAGACTTACCAGCCGGATGCTGCTCTCCAAGTTGCCCTGCTGCATATCGGAATCAGATCAGTATCGGCCAATATGGCTCGTTAAAAATCGGCCATTGGTATCAGCCCAAAAATCTCTATCGGTGCACCCCTACTAAGCAGAATATGAGCCAACAGTGGGCTCCTGTTGTAAAAAAAAAAAAAGCCAACAGCATACTGGACTGCATGCATAAGGAGTGTTACCTGCAAATCAAGGGACATGATTCTTCTGCTCTATTTGGCACTGGTGAGACCACACCCAGAGCACTATGTTCTGTTTTGGGTTCCACAATTCAAGAAAAGTGTAGAAAGAGTCTAGCGGAGAACAATCCAAATCACTAGAGGCCCCAGAAACATGATTTATGAAAAAAGGCTGAAAGAACTAGGGCTGTTTAGTCTGAAGAAGTGAAGATTGAGGAATTTGATAATAGTCTTCAAATACCTGAAGAGAGATTATACAGGGGATAAAGATAAACTTTTCTTTGAAGCAGTAGGAGACAAAACTAGGAACAAGGGCCTCAAATGGCCGCAGAGGAAATTTAGGGTGGAGGTTAGGAAGAACTTTCTAACTATGAGGGTGGCCAAGCATTGGGACAGGTTACCTAGAGAAATTATGGACTCTCCATCCCTAGAAATTTTCAAGAGCATGTTAAACAGACACTTGGCTGGGAAGTTTTAGTCAAGGATGGTTCTGCCTTGAGCAGGGGGCTGGACTAGATGACCTTATGAGGTCCCTTCTAGCCCTATTTTCCTATGATCCTATTCCTATGATCTTATAATTTGATTAGTAAAAAAATACCCCTAAACTCCAAGAAAGATCTTGGAAAAGACCAAAATTTAAAACAGGTAAAAAGAAATATTTCTTTCAGAAACACCTAACTCATCAGTGAAACTCACCATTGCAAGGCAACACTGAGGAAAATAACTTGGCAGGATTAAAAAAATATCATTAAAGAAGTTAATGAATAAGAATGTCTTTGTATTGCACTTAGTGATGCTTATGCTTGCAAGAGATATTTTGATCCTCATGCTTCAGAGAATAAATTGAACACCGGTTGGGATGAGAAAGAAATTCCACCCACCTGTGGTATACACTGAACAACTGGTGCATTATGGCGGGGTGGAATCTAGCTTTCACATTTGCTGTTGGGACACAGTATCTCAGTAGCTGAAGTAAAGGTCCTGATAGCAGCATGGCAAATTCTTTGTCTCTAACGATAACCCCTCTCAGAGCAAGGGGCAACCTGACCTGCTGGCAAGTTGGACAGCATGTTATAAGATGGCATATCATCTTTGGTGCTTACCTTTTTGAGCACCAGTGGCAGGGGGGTTTCTCCCTCTAACAAACTGGCACTTTCAGAATCTGCCTCTCTTCCTGAACTACTCATAATAACTGATACAAAGTGATCAGATTTCAGCAGCTCCTTTAGCAAACCTGCAAAGGAAGAGTGGGAAAAAAGCAAGTTGTGCATTAGGGGTGCAGAGGGTTACAAAGCACCACATCATCATGTCCTTGCCTCACCAAGGCAGTGACCTTCCTACCTACATCCATACACACTATAAATTCTCTCTGATCACATTCAGGGCCTCTTTTCTGGCCATGTCCCCATGTGCCTCCATGATTCATCACTTCAGTATGTAATGCTCCACACCCCCAATTCCCTTTGCTATTTCCATTCCCTCTTCACTTCCTATTCCCTTCCATATTGGGTGGACCTTTCAGTTGCAATTGTACCAGTTCCCTGGAACTGCCTGTCCCACTCCTCCTGCCTGAGCTCTCATCTCCAATCTCTTGTTGAAATGCAGCTCAAAACCCACTGTCTCTCCCCATCTATAGCTAGTGACCCACAAACCAGTTCTTCCCTCCACTACTTTACCATCAGCCCTTCGCTCCTACTACTATCCATTCAAGCTACGTGCTCCCCACACCCTCTTCCTTTAACATTCCCACTTCTCTAATTCTTCTGCACTTAAGAATACTGATGTAAATCATAACTGAGAGACTTCAAAGGCAATGCTCCAGAGTGAGTTCAGAAGCAGTGTAGCCAGGGCTGTTAAAGTCAACTTTGAAAGGAGTCAGCATCTATACATGTAAATGACTTATTAGGTTTGCAAGGCAATCAGACTGCTATTCACCTTCTAAAGAGGAGAGCGAGACCATAGTGCAGCTTGCACATGAGCTGTGGGAGCAAGGCTGAGATCCTATATGACATCACTGTTCTACACAGAGCAGTGATTCTGACTGCATTGTCCAGCAACTTTGAGAGAACTGATCTCTGCTCTAACCTGAACAAGAAGCCCCATTACTGGGAAGGTCCCATTCCTCAGATTCAGTCCTGCCACCCCATAAAGTCTTGTCTCTGAAATCAGTCACTATACAGCAGGGGTTAGCTACCTCTTGCTGCTGTGGGCCAGAGCTTGTACCCTGGCTCTCTGGCATTGGTGGCATACATCTGTGGCACAGCTGTGCCACCTGATCGCCAGTTCTGCCATGGGCTAGGTTGGACCTTTGCAGGCCAGATCCAGCCCACAGGCTGCCAATGTTTGCTGCAAAGGACTGTTATATTTCTAGAAAAATTAGGACAACTGATTGGGACAGGTCATGCCACGATGCAAATTGTGGGACTTAAATGAAAGTGACAGCAAAAACTATGGTGTTGGTTATAGCTGTGTTGGTCTAAGGACATAGGCAGACAAAGTTATTTGGGGTAAATGTTTATAAATGTAAATAAATATTTTATTAAACCATCTAAATAGTTGGAAAAAATATTCTTTACAAGCTTTACAAGTTTAAGGAGAGCATACAAACACCAGCAGACTCTCCCCATGCCTGAAGAAGTGCGTTTGTGCCTGAAAGCTTGAAAAGAATAATTTTTCCAACTATTTAGTTGGTCTAATAAAAGATATCACATTTACTTAAAGAACTTTATCAGTAATTACTGTGGGGATTCCAGTAATAAGGCTGGGCTAGGTGTCAGGGGGTGGTGTTCCCTTGTGGGTACCAGGAGGATTCAGCAATGAAGCTGGCTGGGGCTTGTGATTACTGTGTGAGAACAGAAGAGATCAGCAGCTGTGGACACATTCATTCCCCTTCCACAACAATCCAACTAGCTTGCAGGCTGCTATTTCACAAAGCTCTAAGGAATCACCCCAAGTAAAGCACACAGTAAGATCTCAAATCTACCAGTGAAGAACCCTCTCCACCTTATGATCTTTCAGCCATGTCTTACCCATGCAATTAACCTGCAGCTCCTTTGTCTGTGCATTCCCCAGGGTAGCTAGAAAGAGGCCACACAGCTTCTCTGTGAAGTGCACCGAGAGCTTATCTGCACCGATGGAGGAAGAGTACAGCTTGCCATACAGATAGCAGACAGATGCCTTTACACCCTCATTGGGGTACATCAAGCCTGTCAACAGGTGATCCACTAAATTACCTAAAGCAGTGAACAATAAATGGGATTGGTGTCAGAAAACACAGGGACCTGCCATTTCTAAATCAGCCAGTCCACTTCAGAAGACTCCAAAAACTATTGGCATAGTTCTATGCATGCTGGTTGACTTCTTCCCTTAGTCCAGTCAAATATTTTGGGATTTCTTCTGTGACTCTGATCCCCTCTGTGATGCTCTGAGCAGAAACACAGTAGCAATTATCTGTGGAACTCCTTGTTGAGCCACACAAAGGTACATCATCACTGCAAATTCCCATCTTCCATTCAGAAGTTAAGCAGCATCACCTCAACAACCCTATCATGGGAACTGAAGGGAAACTGAACGCCCATCTCCTCCAAGCCAGACAACTGTGACTTAATCATTGAGGTTGGCCTTACCTGAGCAGACAGGCAGGGAGAGGAGACAGGTAAGCTGGGTTCAATTTTTGTCTTTGCCACATATTTTCTGTGATCTTGAGAAAGTTACTTAGTTAAGCATGTGTGTATCTCCACTTTTGCTAGCGCCACACAATGCTACCATGAAACACATTCCCTCATACTCACCATGTGCAATCACTAACATATCAGCAAAGACTGGGATAGCATCAGCCAGCTTGCCCAGGAGAATAAATGTGGGCAGACTGCCTCTCATGGTGGCTGGCTTGTATAACTGGAGAATACAGAGGGAAGAAAAGGAAATGGGTGAGAATGCAGCCCAACATGGGAAATGCATGCAAAAGAGGAAGCATCCCTCTTAAAGAGGGACCTTCTCATTCAGTGGCATCCACTTAGCTGTTTAAGATAAATCGAGGGAAGAGTCTCCATTTATCCAGACAATTCTTCCTGGACAGAACCATCAAGTCTTCTAAATACAGTTCCAATGTCCTAACTCCTGGGTTTTCCCCTGGTGCCACACTCTCATAGAAGGTGTCCCCCAAAGCAGGAAGCCTGCCCACATAGCTGCTGCAGTAACGAGGCAAAAGAGAAACTACAGAGGAAGCCCCACAGCCACAGTATTGTGAAAATGATCAGAAAAGTACCAGGGCGGAAGTCAGCATTGAAAAGGCAACCCCACCTGCCACTGGTGCTCAAAAAGGCAGAGGCAGGACACTTCTGTGGGCCCAGTCACAAAATAACCTAACTTCACAATCCCTCAGATTCAAACTCAAAGAACCATGGTGAGGCAGAGAAACAGCACTAACCTCTTTCTGGCTTTCATCCAACACATAGTGTATGTACTGCTCTGACTTCAGCTTCATGACAAGCATCACCAGCACTGCACAGAGGAACCAGGATCAGTATCATATAGTGATATTTATTTAGAATGTAAGCAAGTGCACAAGGAGCCTTCACAGCAGCTTTCATTAGACCATGCCAATGCTGATACAGCAGGGTGACACCTGGATTCCCTTTGCTATTATTTCTGGCATCCACCCCTTCCCCCAGTTTGATCATTCTCTAGTGATGTCAGAATAATCCTGTGCCCATGACAGCACAGTACATTCTGTGTGGAAATGACCTTCAAGTCACAACTGAATGCGTTAGAACAGGGCTGTCCAACTTCTGAGTGGCTGGGAGCCACAGGTCCCACACTGCACAAACTATATGCCAGGCACCCCCTGCTGCCACACATTGCATAGAGTTCTCAGGCCCCCTAAACTCCTGTCAGCAAGCTCCCTTGGCCATGTGGGCTGCATTGCCCTGCCCCTGGGAATGTGGGGCAGGAAACAGAGGTTGGAGAAGGGAGCAGGAGCCCAGAGACTTTGGCAGCAACAGGAGAGCAATAGGGGGAGCAATGCCTGGACTCAGAGCCCAGGAGCAGCATGTAGCCCATGGGCCACCAGCTGAACAGCCATGCCTTAGGCTTATCAAGCAAACGAGATAAACCAGAATGAGAAAGAGCAAGTCCCTTGCTTAAATCACAGAGACCTTCAATAATTAACGCAAAGGGCAAAATCCCCATAGTACAAAAATCTCTTATAAAAATATGTTCCAAGTCTAGACCAGAATAGCTAACAATCTCTAAATATCATGTAAAAAGACCTAATCTCATGGTAGACACATCCGCTTTCAGACATGGGCATAATATAAAAATAATTTATGCCAGCTGTGGTCATTCCTCAGGCTAAGCCCTATTTCTACAACCTGGTATCCCTACATCTTTGGGTGCTTTTATACCTTTCCATCAGCCCTGCCTCAATTAAGAGTTGTTATTCTTAGCTCATTGCAATTGTAAGAAATCTCTACTCCATCTGTTCCACTGAAAGAACGGAAGTAGAAATTAACAGGATACTACTCTTACTAGATGTCAATAATCAAGGGCTTTACTAAGTAAAACAAGTGAGATGCATGAAGCTAGAGAGCTGCCTTCCCAGTAAGAAATCTGCATGACCTCTTCTGCCAGTTAGTCTGTCCAGCAACCAAAGCCATTTTTTATGCCTTTAGACCATTAATTACCTTTTTCCCCTGTGGAAGAAGGGAAAAATGGAGTTGAATTTCCATTATATGTAAGAGTGCAAAAAAAACCATGTATTCAGCTTAGGCTATGGGGAAGTCAAAAGGACATGACCCAAAACCGCCAGACTAACACAAGACTGGGACTATCCTGTCCTAGTCTAGTAAAAAACAAAAGCTAAGAAAAAAAGTAACCACAAACCAGCCTGCTGAGTCAGCCCAAAATGGGAAGTGACCCCTAAGGTTGCAAGTTAGATGAAAGACCCTAAAAAAAATTATTTTTTTGCTAACATAATCATAAATGGAAAACATGCGCTTTACTAACAAAGTCATGGCAAATGCTGATTGGTTATGTCGTAGCTATGCTTACGATGCCATATTTTCTATATGAACTCGCCTCACCTGTTGTACGGGGTCAGACCTCTTCACAATTCTCCAATTGTGTATGAGTCTGTCCAAAATGCATTCTCTAATAAACCAAGCTTCTGCTGACCTGACCTAAAGTTTGCTGCGTGTGTTTACCATGACACCCGCTTAAACTCCATGGATCTATAAAAATCTTCACAAGTGGACACCACAAAGTTAAACTTCTGGTCTGAGCACATGCATGTTTCAGAGGACTGGTAATGAAGTAGAGGCTTTTAATTTCTTCATCATCAGTTCAAATCTAGACCATGTCACTAGTGACTGAAAATGGTTACTCTCTGTAAAATAAACTGGTCATTGTCCTAGTCCAGCTCTTTAAATTTTTAGGAGGGAAACACCTGCACTGCTAGAGAGCCTGATTCAAAATCCTTTGAAGTCAATGGAAAAAAGCCATTGATTTCAATAAGTCTACAATCAAGCACATGACAATTACGGCACATACAGAGGAAATATTCATATTTGAAGCCCCTTTCCCTGCACTCCGACTCCCTTCTGAACAGGCTTTCAAAGCACCCCCAGCAGTGAAGAGAGCAGCTGCTCTATAGACGTGAAATTGTTCAACTGATATAGACTCCCTTTCTCAAAGCATCAGGGACTGAGACCCAGGATCTTTCTTTCACCTTCAATGGACAGGTCCAGTGCACTGTTGTCTTCCACAGTATGCAACATCCCTGAAAAATCAACCCACAGATAAATGACAGTCACATAACATATCCCTCTATCTGATAGTCAGTGCTGTGGTCTCTAACTTTAAAAGAAGCTGAGGATCTTTCAGGATTCTTTTCCCCATTTATTTACTCTGCTTCACATGGACCCAACCTAACTCCATGGGCAGGGCAGACTGGATGTTACTCCTGTAATGCCAGGGGCACCCAATATCCAATCATGAGTAGCTGAAGTGTGCAGCCTACCTTGCAATCTCCCACCAGCTTGTTGTGTTTTTATTTTTAGAAAGCATAATGTAAAAAATTGTATGATTTTTGCTGAAATATTTGGATCTACCTATGTAGATACATATGTTACCTGCATCAACATGCTGGAGTATCTATAAGTGATATTATTAAATCTACGTCACAAAAGTTCTTTCCAGAACACACCTAACGCATTCCCAAGGATCATAGAAATTAGAGACTGGCTGTGAGGTAGACCTCTTCAGTCTTACATCCATTCCTTGCATGAACAACTCTGTTTGCTCACAGTACTGAAAGTTCCCAAAGGTCTTGCCCAGGCCATATTGAAACATGGGTATTAAAATTTCAAGTGCCAGTGGAGATTATTATAGGAGTTAAATGGAGTCTGTAGTTACAACAGTGTTCCATGCAAATTTAAACGTTCACAGCTGGAATTTAAGATTTGGCATATTATATTAAACCACTGTCACACCTCTGGCTCTACCAGATTAGTCTGCTCACTCATTGTACCACAGTATTTTACAGTGGCCAACACCCTAATCTAAGCTGGTCCAGAACCCTTTCTTTTGACATACCAAATCATGTCTATAGATGCACATAGTCCAGCATTGTGCTTCTGATGTTCCAAAAGGAGAAAGTCCCCCTCCCATCAAACACCTAACCAGCAGAGCAATTCTATGACAATGGGTGCGAAGAAACCAGTTTTACATTCTATTTTAACCCAGTCCCTCCAGAAATGATCTTCTTGCATCTTGAAATAAAATCAATGAGCTGTATTTTGAATATTGTAGTATAAACTTCCTTTCAGTTTCTTCAAGAAATTCCAGCTACACATGCTCCCCAATCCCAGCCCTTCACAACACAACAGCCTACACCTCCGCTCTTCTGATCACTCGCATCTTCCTCCTCCACAGCTGCTTCTGCCTACATTTGTCCTCTAACTCCCTCCTAATTTTAGTCCTTTTCCCAGATTATTTTCTAGTAAGACCACCTTCCACAATGATTCATTTGACCTTTGCAACTGCCTCCCACAAACTCTTCATTCATTCAACCCCTCTTCAGCAGGTATTGCCTTATTACAGCAATGCCAGATTTCCTATTGAGGATCAGGATCCTGCCGTTCTGTGTTATGCAAGCACACAGTAAGTAAAAGACAGTCCCTGCCCCAAAGCCTTTCAGCCATAAACTTATCCAAATGCAGGGAATGGATATTTTAAAAAAATGCAATAAAATTTAAAATGAAATATTTGGGTCTTCATATGTGTTAAGTGCAACATCTGCTGTATCTAGATCAGAATTTCCTGTAAGCTTTCTGGGCAGAGGCTCCTTCCATGCTTGGAAAGGATCAAGTGCGCAAACTGGGCTCAGCATAAACATCTGGGATAAACAGCATAAACAGAGGGAGACGATCCCGATGCGGGGAAAAAGGGGGAAAGGGGACAAGAGGCTTCCTTGGCTGATCAGAGAAATCCAGAGCAGCCTACGGGCAAAAAGGGGGGCATATAAAAAGTGGAAATGGGGAGAGATTACTAAAGAGGAGTATACCTCCTCTGCTCGCGCTTGTAGGGAGGCAGTTAGACAGGCCAAAGCTACCATGGAGCTGAGGATGGAATCCCAAGTTAAGGATAACAAAAAATTGTTTTTTAGATATATAGGGAGTAAAAGGAAGGCCCAGGGTGGAATAGGACCTCTAGTAAATGGGCATAAGGCAATTGCTGATGGACAGGGGGGACAAGGCTGAACTCCTCAATGAGTTCTTTGCCTCAGTGTTCCTAAGCGAGGGGCAAGACAAG